AGAGCTCTTGATTATAGCCATTCTGACTGTTGTGAGGTGGTATCTCAGTGTTTGCTTTGCATTTCTTTTATGGCTAGAGAGGTTGAGCATTTCTTCATGTGTCTATTGGCTATCCTTCTTTCCTCTTCAGAGAAGTTTCTCTGTAAGTCTTTAGCCCACTTATTTATCAGGCAGTTGTTTCTCTGAGTATTTGTTGTTGGGGGATATAGTTTTTGAGTTCCAAGTATATTTTAAATATGAGACCCTTGTCCATTATATAGCTAGTGAAGATCTTCTCCCAATCCATGGGCTTTCTATTGACCTTGATAGCTATGTTCCTTGCCATGCAGAAGCTCTGCAACTTCATGCAATCCCATTTGTTCAACCTTTCTTGGATTTGTTGTGTTTCTGGGTCTCTATTAAGAAAATTTTGGCCTGTGCCAAGGAGACCTAGGGTTTCTCCTATTCCATCCTGTAATGTTTTCAGGGTGTCTGCTTTGACTCTGAGGTCTTTGATCCATTTGGAGTTGATTCTGGTGCAGGGTGATATATAAGGATCTAGCTTTAGTTTTCTAAAAGTGATTAACCAATTTTGCCAGCCCCATTTACTGAAGAGGCTGTCTTTCCCCCATTCTAGTTTTTTAGCTATAGATGGCTATATGTCTGTGGGTTTATTTCTGGGTTTTCAATTTATTTCTGGGTATTCAATTCTATTCCATTGGTCCAGAGGTCTCTTCTTGTGCCACTACCAAGCTGTTTTGATTTTTATGGCTTTGTAGTAGAGTTTGAAATTTGCATTGATATTCCTCCAGACCTGAACCTTCTGTTAAGGATCGTTTTTGCTATTCGGAGTCTTTTGTTGTTCCATATGAATGTTTGGACTGCCTCTTCTATTTCCTTGAGGAATGAGGTTGGAATATTGATAGGTATCACATTGAATTTGTAGATAGCCTTGGAAAGTATTGTCATTTTCATGATGTTGATCCTTCCAATCCAGGAGCATGAGAGGTTTTTCCACTTTCTAAGTTCTGTTTTGATTTCCTTTTTCAGGTTTTTAAAGTTTTCAGCATAGAGGTTCTTCATTTCTTTGGTTAAGTGAATTCCTTTCTATTCCTCCCCTCCTTTCATCTTATCCTTTTCTTCTCTCCATATCATTTCTTTATACTTACATAATTTTTAAGTGTTTAATCTTTTAAATTTAAATTTTTGTTTTCCATTTTTTCTTGTTTTTTAATCTCTTTCCTATCATTCTTTACAATCTATTTCCCTCTCTGAGAATTAGGACTTGGTTAAATTCACTTTCCTTTTACCTCTCCACATCCCTCTAATCCTTTTTCCCCACATTTCTCCCTAAACCTAATAATTTCTGGTTTGCTGTATCCCTCTTTGCTATTCTTAGTCCATTAATCCATAGTTGTTTGATGTTGAATAGATTGTATCTGTTGAACTAGGTTGTATCTGTAGCCATTTTGACTGTGCAGCTACAGGACTCTGGTTGATGCTTGCCTTAAAATAGTGTTCTAACACAAAACTGGTGTTCCTTTCATACTAAATGGGTAGAACAAGCTGGAGAAAAACAAGAAAAATGGCAAATCCAGGTATCTCAACTTCCACTCATGATAATCAGGTGACAGAACCGATAATGAATGATCCAGAGGAGAGTTCCCAAAAAGCTCTATAAATACTACTGGTAAACATGGAGAATGAAAGATGATTGAAAACCTGCAAAGGACTCAATGTGAGCATGATAGGGAGCAAGAGGAGGCAAACCAAAGATTAATACAGGAATCTCATGAACATGATGAAACTACTCAAAGATTGTTATTAGATTTATTGATGATAGCCATTCTAACTGGGGTGAGGTGGAATCTCAATGTTGTTTTGGTTTGTGTTTCTTTTATGGCCAGAAATGTTGAGCATTTCTTCGTGTATCTATTGGACATCTTTAATTTCTCTTCAGATAAGTCTCTCCTTAAGTCTTTAGTGCTCTTTTTAATGGGGTGGTTGTTTCTTTGGGATTTGCTTTTGGAGATTTTAATTTTTTGAGCTGCCAATACATTTTAATATGAGGCTCTTGTCTGTTGTGTAGCTTGTAAAGATATTCTCCTAGTCTGTGGGTTTTCTATTTATCTTGCTAGCTATTTCCTTTGTCATGCAGAAGCTCTGCAGTCTAATACAATCCCATTTATCCAACTTTGATTTGTTATGTTTCTGGGTCTTTATTAAGGAAGTTCTGACCTGTGCCAAGGAGTCCTAGTGCTTCTCCTATTCTTTCCTGTAATATTTTCAGAATATCTGCTTTTACCTTGAGGTCTTTGATCTATTTGGAATTGATTCTGGTGCAGGGTGATATATAAGGTTCTAACTTCAGTTTTCTACATATGTTTAGCCAATTCTAGTAGGCTGAGATCTGAGGATGGTTGTTCAAAGCTGTCTCAGGTAGACAAGTCCATGAGACTTTCATTTCCAATTAATTCCTAAAGCATCAAACATGGATCTGTGGCTCAAATGGTAGAATACCAGCCTTGAGTGCAAAAGCTCAGGGACAGTGCCCAGGCCTTGATTTCAAGCCTTAGGACTGTCACAAATAAAATCAACAACAACAAAATATACCTCAATAGATAGATATTTTCAGAGAGTGAACTACTGCCTTAATATGTAAAAAAATCAATCTTTTAATAACAGGTTTTAAATTAAAAAATACCTTACAACCACAAGATTTTCATGGCAAATGTCATGTTTTAAATGACACATCCATTGGGTCCAACTAATGAGAAAGGCAATTAGTTTGAACACTTAGGAAAGTAATTTGAAAATACTCAGAGGAAGACAACTACATGTAAAGAGCCAATAATTTCCACTACTTTCTTTTCTCTAGAAAAGGAACATTCAGACAAATTTAATCACACAGTGTAGAATTACTTTAATCAATTTTAATCAGTCCCTGAAAGTAGTAATAGTTTTTTTCTCAACTACCATATATAATATAAAAATCAAAGCAGAATGACCCAAACTCAGAAATGCAAATTACAAGCAAGACATATGTTTGACATTTAAACTTTAACCAAGTAAGAAACTTAAAGAATGTATAGGACTTAAAAAAATGTAGCCCTCACTGGGTTCTGATGGCCCACTGCTATAACCTTACTACTGAAGAAGCTGAGATCTGAGGATCATGGTTGAAAATCATCCTGGGAAGGAAAATTTGTGAGACACTTATCTCCACATAACTGAAAATACTGTGAAGCTTTGGCTCAAATGGGAGAGCACAAAAAGACTCAGGGACAGCACCCAGGCCTGTAGTTCAAGGCCCAGGAAGGGCATTAAAAAATGTAGACCTCATGAATATGACAGATTTGTGGGGCTAAAAAATCCAAATACTCTCTACCAATGTTTGAGGTTACTTGTTCTATTCAGGAGAGAGGCATCCAGTTGTTTCACTAGAGATTCTCATTTCAAGTCCCTAAGGGAGGACATTCAGATCTCTAAATCTGAATGTGACACCTGAATTTGCTCCATTCACTTGGTGATGCTGACGGCAACCATTCCTAGTACAATCCTCCTTATGTCGCACCAGGTCAAGCTCTGATCTATGTTCCAGAATGTTCCTTAACTAAGAGGACCTTGTGAGATACAACTCTATTATTTTGGAATATTTGTGTTTGAGCCCCTTTTGATTGGATCCAACTGACAGGGTTCAACCATTTCACAATGGAGATAATCTAGCTAACCTAATTTAAAGAAGGAGATATTAGTATTAAGCTTAAGGACTAGCCTTACTGCAGAAGGTATTTTTTTATTTATCAATGACTCACTGATAATTGGATGAAAACAATCTAACCTCTCTAATGACACCAAGGGCCTTTCCATGGGTATAATTGACATAGTCTTATTCTTATCTGCACAACTTGTAAGAAACTCATCTCATCCAGGAGATGGTGGCCCCTGCCTGTAATCCTAGCTAATTAAAAGGCTGAGATCTGAGGACTGCAGTTCAAAGCCAGCCTGGACAGGAAAGTCCAGAAAATTCTTATCTCCAGTTAGCCACCGAAAACCGGAAGTGGCCCTGTAACTCAAAGTGATAGAGCACTAGCCTTAAGTGAAAGAAACTCAGGATAGCACCCAACCTCTGAGTTCAAGCCCCAGGAATGATCCAAAGGAAAAAGATCTCATCTTACAGGAGAGAGAAGTCTTTCTTGCCTTCACATGGCATTTCTACCTGTTATGATTTTCTCTCTTCTGAGAATGATCCCCAAAACATCACTAAGATTATCTAAAATACATGACGGATTCAGCAACAAAAGGAAAAAAAATAAAACCTCCAAACAAATCCAATTTAGAAAATCAACCAATTATGCGAGTAAAATTTCTCTAAAGTTGTCGTTCAGTTTCCAGAAAGATGTTTATTTAGTTATTATTTTGTTGACTATTTTAAAATTATTACCTTTCAATAAATCTACAAAGGGGATTCAATTCAATGTGTCAGCTTCTATAGAGTACAATGCATTTTTTGCAGTTTCTGACAGTTCCAGGGCTTGAACTCAGGCCCTGAGTGCTGTCCCTGAGCTTTTTGGGTGCTCTACCACTTGAGCTACAGTTCCACTTCTGGCTTTTTTGGTTGATTTGAATGAAAGCTTCATGGACCTTCTTGCCAGAGCTGGCTTTAAACCACAATCCTCCTATCTCAGCCTCCTAAGCAGATAGGCTTACCAGCACAATGCATTTTGATCAATGTCAATCCTTCTAATAACAAAGGGGATAGATTTTTTTAAGATATTAAAAGGGGAAGTTTTAAAAGGTTCATGAATTAGGTGGAATAGAATAAATGAACTTCTAATGTCCTTCAGCATAGATTAATGATGACTGACAATAATTCACCGTATTGTTCAAATGTAAAAGAGGTTTGTAATACCCCAAGGAAAATGAAATGATAAATTTTTATGATAGCAAATAAGCAAACTACCCTTACCCAATCATTTATATTTTATGTGCATATCTTAAGGTATCATGGTACTGGTTGCTCACACCTGTAATCCTAGCTACTCAGAGGACTGAGATCTGGGGATCACAGTTTGAAGGCAGCCTGGGCAAGAAGGTCTGTGTCTTATGTCCAACTAACCACCAAAGAAAGCATCACCAAAGAAGTGGAGCTGTGGCTCAAGTAGTAGAGTACTAGCCTTGAGCAAAAAAATTATCAGGGGCAGTGCCTAGGCCCAGTACCAGTACTTTACCTTTCCTCTCTCTCTTTATGTGTGTGCATGTTCGTGTACATATATGTGTGCACATGTATATAACATATATATATCATGTACCAGATTAATATTTACAATTTACATTTGCTGATAAAATTCTACATTTATATTAGGAATTACTTACACTGAATAATCCTAACTCAGGTCCTGACTGTATACTTGAGCAATGAAATTGTTCAGAGGATTATCAAACGTCACAGATCCAAAGTAATAGGAAAGGCAGGTGACAACCCAAGATGATGATAAACTTAACTTTAATGGCATATGGACATTTCTGAAGAATACAAGAATTAGAATGAACCACCTTGATTCCTCAGGAATACTGTCACTATCTAATCATAGAAATCTAAGTGCAAAGTCAATTTCACATCACCAAAGAGAAGCCATCCTATCCACAAGTTTCCTGAAGGCTCCCTTCATGTCCCTGTTCCTCAGGCTGTAGATAAAGGGGTTCAGCATTTGAGGGACCACAGTATACATCACTGAAGCCACAGCCATCTTCCTGGGTGAGTCAGCAACAGCAGAGCTGATGTACACCCCCAACCCAGCCCCATAGAACAAGCAGACCACACACAGGTGGGAGCCACAAGTGGAGAAGGCTTTGTGCCATCCTCTCACTGAGGAGAGTTTCAGAACAGAAGAAACAATTTGGGAATAGGAGAAAATGATTCCTGAGAGTGGAATACCACCAAAGAGGAAAGTGGCAGTGTAAGTCAGGACATTATTGACAAGGCTGTTTGAACAGGCCAGCTTGATGACCTGGGCCAGCTCACAGAAGAAGTGAGGGATCTCCATGTCTGTGCAGAAAGATAGATGCAACACCATCAGACTGACAAGGAGGGTGCTCACAACACTTATGAGTGTGGAGAAAAGAATCAGCAGAGCACAGAGGCGTGGGTGCATGATGGCTGTGTAGCTCAGTGGGTGGCAAATGGCCACAAAACGGTCATATGCCATAGCTGCCAGGAGACAGTTTTCCAAGAAAGCAAAATTCCAAACAAAGCAGACCTGGAGGAGACACCCTCCCTGAGTGATGCTCTGGTCCTGTGTGTGGATGTTCACTAGCATCTTGGGGATGGTGGTGGTGCTTAAACAGATGTCAGCCAAGGATAGGTTGGAGAGGAAGAAGTACATGGGGGTGTGGAGGTGGGGGTCAGAGCTGACAGCCAGGATAATGAGCAGATTTCCGAGAACAGTGATCAGATATATAGACAAGAATATGCCGAACATGAGTGGCTGTAGTGATGGCTCGTCTGATAGTCCCAGGAGAAAGAAATGTAAACTGCCTGTATGGTTCTTAGTGTCCATGCTGCTGGTATACCTGATGGAAAAAAATGGAGAGAAATAAAATATATGGTCTCAGTATCCCCTTGTATCATGGTAGAAAGAAGTTATTCATCCCTAATCCAGTCTTAATCTACCTCAATCCTGGGGATAAGAGACAGTAATTTATTCTCTTTTTCTACATTATTTACCAGCATTAATTAGTTGCACAAGGGGAGGTTCATGTTGACACTTTCATCTATGCTCACAATGTAAGCAATCACTCTTTCATTCCCATTACCCCTTTCCCAAACCAATGTTAACCAACTTCATTGTTCCATTTTCACCCAGGCATGTATACATATTGACCAAATTCGCCCACCTTCATTCTCTCCACTCACCCTCTCATTCCCAATTGATTTTGAAAATATATGAATCTTCGTACAAACAACACAAGTTGTCCAAAACATAAATTGATCCTACAAAGGGGCTTCATTATGACACTTACAACATAAAATATGCATATAATATATATTAATACAATTCACACCATCCACATTTTTGTGTCCCAACTCATCCTCCACACCCTTATTTCAGCAATTTTTGGTGCATTTCATTATATTAGTTCCATCTACATATAGCTACATATGCATATAACTATATATACATGTACATATACACACATGTACACATATATACATATTTATAAACTAGTATATATATGCTATATATACTAATTTTATATTGTATATTTCATATATAAATTATATATAAATACATACAATATCTATGATATATGATATAGAAGATATATGATTATATATAAAATATAAAAATATATGTTATATATGGCATAATAGTATATATTAATTATACATACTAGTTTCATAAGTCAATTTATATATGAATGTATATATACATATACATTGTGACAGCTCATAATCAGTTCTTTAGTGATCATTGGACAGTTCTGATATATGTTGAATTTTGAGAAAATATATATTCAGCTGAAATTTTCCCATGTGAATCTTGTGCAAAATGATCCAAATGTTTGGGGTTTGTATTTTTTTACTGCTGTTTTCTCCTTTCCCTTGTCTATCTTTCTTCTGTTCTCTTCACTGAAATAAATTTATTCTATTGAACATCAACTCCCTTTCTCAACTGTGTTCAGCATTGAATATAAAAATAATAAACAAAGTGTGTCTTCCAATCCAAAGTAATCCATGGCTTCTACAGACAGAGGAAAAGGAATTAGAAATGAGGTAAGGGGTAACAAGTTTGGCAAGAAATGTAATTAGTACCTTACTTATGTAACTGTAATCTCTTTGTATATCACTTTGACAAGAAAAAATTAAATAATATAAAAATTTATTGGAAATTCTTTTATTTTAATTTTTAAGTAGTTGTACAAAAAGTTGTCATTCAACAAAGTAGTCTGTGAACACAATACATCTTGATCAGTGTCACCCATTTCATCATTCTCTCCCATCTCAGTAAATCTTTATTTCTTTCAAGGAATGATGGAGGAGAATGATAGAAAGGGTGCTATTGATCAAGATGCATTATTCTCATAACCTGACAAGAAGAATTGCAACCTCTTGGTACAACTATTTAATAATATATTTTTAAAAGAATTTATTTACAAACTTTACTGTGCCTCTGAAACATTGGAAGGTCTTGTAAATTTGAAGATATGTTGATTCATACTACCATACCTATTTAACCAAAGAACTACCTAGGTAAGGTGAGGATGCATTATGGATGTGAATTGGACGGTCATAATGAACACAGATTCAGAGAAAACTGACATTTCTTTGATGTTGACATCGACTCTCTTGGTCGATTTAGATTTATGCATCTAGATTTCACACAAGAGAATTTTTAAATAATCCCTCAGAGCTCTTAATTTAACATTGTAACAATGTTATTTCCTCCTAAACAAAGCCTCTATTCTTCAAAGGCTTCAAAGGTGACCTTATCAACCCAGGAAATAAATTGTAGCAGGTGAATGGCATCTTTATGAGTTAACTTTAGCCAAAGGTTAAAAACTAGGAAACTTACATGTCCTGTCCCTATGGAGATACAACTCATATCCTTTAGTAATTAATTCTAGAATCATCTTGGCAATGATAGCCATGAGATTCTCCACCTAACTTCCTAAGGGAGCTCTTCTAATCTGATTTTTTAAGATATAGTTGTTAAAATGAGAGAAAGAATAAAATGACTGTGAACAAAGAAAACTCTATGTCAATATTCAAAACACAGTTATTTCTAGATAGCACACTTGTGAGAAATTTATAAGATAATTATGATCCTACTAAGAGTTTCTCTGTAGAGCAATCATCTCTCTGTCTCAAGAGCAAAGGAATCCAACCAGCTGCCACATTCAAAGCAGTTTGTTTGGGATTTGGTTCTCTTGGAAAAATTCCACTGACTGCTGGGTAAACATTGCAGCAGCACTTATTAATTGCTGTCATCTTGGACTCAGATATTCTTTTTTGTACATTTTTATTGTAGAAATATTGTACAGAAGGGTTACCGTTACATGAGCAAGGTTATGAGTACATTTCCTATCGAGCATTGTTGCCTCTTCCTTTGTTTTTCCTCTACCATCCCTTCCCTCCTACCTCCAAACCACCCCCAACCCCACCTCCCCTGCCAAAGTTGTAAAGTTCATTTTCAACAGTGTCTTGTATATCTCATTGTTATAAAAATTCTTAAGTTAGTATCTAGTATATATTTTGCATAGGAAAAATCACCAGCTACATGGGAAGAGAGAATGTCTCATTTGTACAATAACACATATATGCTGGATGTGTGTTTGCTTGATACAAGTAATTAATTCTGCAGTGACTTTCTACATGCACATGTCACAATATATTCCTAGAATATATAGAAGTTTTACCCAATTAGTGTTGCAGAAGTTTGGAAAATCCTGTACAGGTGTATCATGATGATATGTGAAAAATCACAAAATTACCCAACACAGTGGAAATTTCATGCTGAGATTTCCTATAAGGTTCTTAAATGTTGTTATGAATATACACAGGGCAGTATCCTTTCATCACAAAGGCAAGAATTGAGGAAAGGGGAACGAATAATAAATTTAATTATTAAAGTATTTACATGCAAGTGGTTTCTAGTCCTACTACTGATGGAGAAAATGAGAAAGATGTCAGGTACTGTAATCCTAGCTGCTTACAAGGATGAGATGTGAGGATCATGGTTCAAAGCCAATCCAGGAAGAAAAATCCATGACATCTCCAATTAACCACCAAAAATCCAGAAGTGGATCTGTGGCTCAAGTGGTAGAGGGCTAGCCTTGAGCACAAAACCTCAGAGATAGTGCCACAGCCTGGCCCCCACAGAAAAGAAGGAAGGAAGGAAGGAAAGATGGAAGGAAGGAAGGAAGGAAGGAAGGAAGGAAGGAAGGAAGGAAGGAAGGAAGGAAGGAAGGAAGGAAGGAAGGAAGGTCATAGTATTCTCTGAGGAGAGGAAGGAAAAAGAAAGAAGGGAGGAAGAGAGAAGAGGGAGGGGAGGAGGGGGGAGGGAGATGGAGGAAAGGAAAGAAGGAAAACAATACTGACATTCACTTGGCGTGCATATAAAGATAGAAACTAAAATCAATTTTATCACAAAAGAAATTGTGTGATGGAGCCCACCTCATCCAGAACCCATAGCACTTCTGGTGACTTGGTGAGTTTCAGGAAGAATGATGCTCAACATCTCCCCTCATTGTGGAAAAGGTTTTCTCCTGAAGTTCAGAGACATGTAGTGTATGTGTCCTGATCCAGAAGGATCATCTCAAGGAGAAGGTACAGGGGTTGTGTTTTTACTGTTAAGTGAGCTGGTTTCAGAGCTATAGCTTACAATCTGTGCATCCCCAGGAGGCACAGATGGAAGAATCACAGTTTCCTAAAGTCTTAATTAGTCCAGATATTCCCCTATCATTCCAATCCCAGGAGTAACTCTATCTAAAACCTGAGAGAGGAGAAGTAAGGGATTTAGGACAGCTGGTTTTGTGACCGAGGAGGCAAAGATTGCATCACTCACCTCCCTCCATTGCTTCTCTTCACCTCCATTTTTCTTTCTACTCTGTTTTATTTGGTGTTAACACACATTTATAGTCAAGGGGGGATAACTTGTGATATTCCCATACACGCATAGTGTGTACATTGAACACACTCAACCCCTCATCCTTCCTTCTCTTCTGCAGCATTTGGTGTGGTTTTATTGTGTTTTATTTACTCATGTATCTCAATGTCAATATCTATCTAATCATAGATATGTGTGCAACATCTTTCTACCTTCTTCCCACTCTCAGTATCAACTCTGCCCTCACTCATTATCATCATCCTCAGCACCACCATCATTGCCATCTTCATCCTTTAGGGTCTGTACTCCACAGATGAGATTACGACGTTTGTTATATCTCACTCAAAGTAATGATCTCCAGATCCATCCATTTTCTTACAAATGACTTAATTTAATTTTTTCCCATTATGGCTGATGATTTGAAGAAGACATTACCCATCACCACTCACAGTAAACTTCCCTCTTGGAGTAACTCATTTTATTTTGTACATTTTGATGAGTTGTGTTTTCATTTTCATTTGATACATGCAATTTTCATTCCAGCCCTTATTTCTTTGGTGTTTTGCCTACTGCTTTAGAAAGCATACAGTTCCATCTCTTTGTGCCTGCGTACTTTGTGTCATTATGCTTGCTGGTGACTTCTCATTTTACTCCTTTGTAGTCTGGTAAAAAAAAATACAAAATTATTTTTAATTTTCTGATTCTTTGTTAAGACCCCTTATGATTTCAAATATGATCAATTTTTTTAAAAAAGGGTTCTGTCAGCTGCTGAGAAAAAGTTATTTTCTGCCACTGTTGGGTAAAATATTCTGCAGATGTTTGTTTGTCCCTCTGATCTATAATTTCAGTTAATTCTGAAGTTTCTTTGCTGACTTAAAAAAGTTGGATCACTAATATATCAGGAAGAATTATGTACTATAGTAGGCCACTCTATTGTCTATCTGAACTTT